ATATGTAATGTATGGTAGCTATTATGTTATTGTATTTTACAAAGTAAGAACTTGTGTTATTATTTCTACTCGTTTATACTGAGATAGAATAAAAATAAAGTATACAAAACTAAAGATTCGGCAATTCAGGAAAAGTTTATTTATGTAATTTGTGAAAGTCTAAGAAATAAATTTATCCCTAATCAACTGATCTTAACACATGAAAAGGAACATCTTTACATAAACACCTGGTTGAACTTGCAGTTTGCTGGTGAATAATTTGTTTCCCAAGTTACAATCAAGAAGGCTTAGCCAAGAATACTAGCCTAACCAAAATGACCCTTATTTATATTACTGGAAACTACAAATTTATTGGTTATTGTGTAGGCATGGTGATATAGGTGACAGGATGTCTGTAAGTAGTTACACACATTTACACCTATACCAATGCTAAATCTCGACCACCAAGTAAGAGTTTATTGTTGGCAAGAGTTTACTGGCAAGTTTATTGAATAGGATACAACTTTATACTTTGTACGGAGCCATATCATAAATATTTTCTCTCGCTTTTATAAAGTACTTTAGACAATTCTTGTTGCAACCACTGTATTGTAAAGAAGCCACTGTGTTCTCAGAGCAGCGATCCGAATAGTTTCTGTAGGATACTTCCCCTTATTAACTTATTGGATTGGCCCAGACTTTCTGCAAAGTCATAAACATTTTATAATACTTTATACAATTGTCATTTTAACCAATATACTGTAAACAAGTAGATATATCCTATCCCACTGTGTTTTCAAAGCACCACATGAACTTATTTGATATTGACAGTGTCAAAGTACAGTAACACCTAAACAGGAACGGTGATTCATTGCTTTATATTCGGAAGGTTTCTACTTCAACCACTAATAGTAGTATAACAATAGGAAATAGGTGTAAAGAGATGAAAAGAAACTCTCAGGAGATTTACTAGGAACTTTACTGTCCATACTGAAAAGAACAGAGTACTATTCTTTTTGTTTATTCTAATTTCTAACTCATCTACTAGCAATAAAATAACTACAGAAAATAAGTGTGAAAAGGTGAGAGTGTAAACTCTGACCATAAGTACTTTGAAATTTTGTGATCAATACTAACAATACTATACATTTTATTTTGCAACCTTTATCTTCATTATACTTTGATTACTTACGTACAAACTAGAGAAATAAGTATAATGTTACAGTATAAAAAATAACAGATAAAATATAAAGCTTTACTGAAAATAAAAATGCTTGAGATTTAATTATGAGGATTTATTTTTCATTTGTTTTAACTGTTTATTATTATAAAAGTAACTAAAATCATAAAAATAGAATGTTGGTAGGTAAGATAATGAAAAAAAATAAAAATAAAAACCTTCGTGGGGTATAAGTGCCAGAAGCTTTTGTATTACGCTGTTTGATAGGGTCATGTCAATGCACGTGCACCGTGTAATTTTCAACTTCTATCGGGGTATCTTTAGTCAGACACGGTTCAAAGCTCAATAAAACAAAAATTAATAAATATAAATAGATTAATACTGTTACAAGATTTAAGCTA